GTCTACGTTATCTTCCTCATCACAAATCTCTCCCTGTAATTAGGAAGGAATGTCGGTAATTGTCTATAATAAACAAATGTTATACTAAACAGTCATTGTTTCATATTTTTTGTCATGCATAGCAGTCTGCACCAAAATCTTTTCCAACTACTAGATCGAAGACTAATATTCCGACAATTTTCTTATGTTTATAAACAAATATTTGCAAATACTTTAATTAGTCCGAATAAAATTTAACTTGTCTGGGGCATCTGACTAGTGGCTAATGGTGCAGACTGGCATAGACCTTTTATAGCTTAATGTATGGTGTGATTTTTGCTCATTGTTGAAGGCCATATGGTGACCTATAGTTGTTTAAACTCCTTGTCCTTTGGTCTTTGGTGGATAGTTGTTTCATTGGCAATCAAACCAGTGTCATTCCCTTATCTACCAATGGTTACAACTCTTTTTCCTTTCTGGTTGCATTTTGTGTTTTTGTTTTGTATATTATAGACATACCTATTGAGTGTCAAAACTGAGTAGTAAAATGTGTCTTCTTGTTAATAAATATTTTAGCAGTACCATCTCATCAGAGAGACACCCAATTATACAAAAACAATAATACTACAAACTATAATATTTTCTTTTTATCTTTATCTTAGAGGGGTTATTTTGATTTATATACATATGTTGATAGATATATGTATTTGTGTGTTTACATTTATATAATGTCTTTTTCATAAATTGTGGTATCAATCCTATAATTTTAAATTAGAAGCCATTAAAAAATTCTTATTCTTGCATGTTATTTATTTGTGTCAAAATTTGTAAAACGTCTCACCTGTTTCATTGATCATGATGGAATTTTATATTGAAAGTCTTTCAGATAAAGGTTTTAAACTTAACATTATCCATGAATCATGAAACTGAGGTCAAGATCAGATGAACTCTGCCAGACCAACAGTCACAATGACAGTACATCTAGGAATCATTCCATACAGTGAATACAATTGATCTTTTGGCTAATCTGAGAAACACCTAACCACGGAAGCTTTAGGTTGACCAATGAACTATATGAAAATGAGGTCAAGGTCATATGAACACTGCTACACAGACATGTACATCTTACAATCATTCCATACCAAATATAGTTGACCTATTACTTATAGTATTTCAGAAACAAAGTTTAACCATGAAAACATAACTGTTACATTATTATCTCTGACAATGCATTACAATCGACTTATTCATTATTTGTAGGAGTTGGTATTCCACAATTGTGTTTAGTCATACAAAAAAATTATTGAAACTTCTATAAAACATGAGTTTCAATCAAACCACCACTACACTCAATGCCGAAGTTATAAATCTTTTAATTCATAAGACATTTAATTTTTTCATTGGAAGACACGAAACAGTTTAGAAAATAAATGTGGATAGTGTCCACATGTGGACACAGATGATGCCCCCGCTTGCAAAGCATATAGTTATAAAGGGACAAAACTGAAGAACGGTAAAAGTGACGCTATCCAAATTTGAACTTGATCTGAGTTTTTGTGGTAATAAGCATTGTGTGTAAGTCTCATAACATTTGGTTGAGGCTAACTTAAGTAGAGAACAGAAACTAAAAATTCAGCAATTTTTCTATTTGTAAACACGCATAACTCTAGAACGGTTGTGTATAAGTTTTATAACATTTGGTTGAGACAAACTAAAGTTAGAGAACGGAAACAAAAAATTTGTACTTGATCTAAGTTTTGTGGTAATGAATATTGTGTATAGGTTTCATAATGTTTGGTTGGGGCAAACTTAAGTTACAGAATGGAAACTAAAAATTTTGCAATCTTTCGATTTATAAAGGGGCATAACTCAATAATGGTTAAAGTGACACTTCCCAAATTCAACTTGATCTGTGTTTTATCAGTGGAAGTCAAAATTAAACATTGCATTGTATAAAGCATTGATTGTAGTTGATTCAACTATACTCATGGACAAAGGAAGATAACTTTTTAAATTTTAAAAATTACTTGATATTTAGAAGAAAATAAAAATTTTGCAATTTTTCCATTTTTAAAGGGCATAACTCTAGAGCAGTTAAAGTGACGCCACCAAAATTCAAACTTGATCTTTGTTTTTTGGTAATTAACATTGTGTATAAGTTTCATAACATTTGGTTGAGGCAAACTAAAGTTAGAGAACGGAAACTAAAAATTTTGTAATTTTTCCATTTATAAAGGGGCATAGCTATAGAACGGTTAAAGTGAAGCCACCAAAATTCAAACTTGATCTGTGTTTTGTGGTAATAAGCATTGTGTATAAGTTTCATAACATTTGGTTGAGGCAAACTCAAGTTAGAGAACGGAAACCAATTTATGGACGTACGAACGTACAGTCGGACAAGGGTAAAACTTAATGCACCCACCGCTACTGCGGGGGCATAAAAAATAAAGATTTTAACTGACCAACAACATAATGGACTGTGTTATCAATCAATAGATACTTTAACTTCCCTCAGAAACATTCCACTTACCCCAATTAGCCTAAAAACACCAATGATAAAACAACCTCCCTCAATAGTCAAAATTACAGCAAATGTCCTAAAACCATATGGTTACAACACAACTGTAAAATTTTTAAGACTTCCCATTCTAGACCTAGGTGAACATCAATTTATACTTTTAAAGCACTATTTTTAAAAATTTTAATAAAATCTTTTTGGGCTGCATTCTTTTTCTTTTTTTCACATCTGTATGTAAATTTTTGATGGCAATTAACCAATTTTCCCCATCACACTATTTGTTACAAAGTTGAGATATCACCATCAAAGTTTCTCCTTCATCTATAGCCACTGGCATTATGGCTACTTTCCAAACATAGATTTCACTCTTTTCTTATTATAGTTATAATCTGTTTCAAGTCATTGATTACTTTATTTCTGTAAGTTATATATATTGATCCTGAGCAGTCCACAATATATCTATTGTCCCTTTCTGTTTCATGATGGAAAATTTAGGACACAAAATCAACTAGCCCTGTGTATAGCCATTTGGTTTGACAACTACGTACAGAGTTGGTGCAATTCGGATCTACCCCGTCTCCCCTAACCTCTCTGAATTGTTGAACGCTATCATTTTGCATTAACCATAATATAATGGCGTAAATTAGATATACATTACTGGTCTCTAACTTCAATGACTGCAGGTACATTTAAAGACAAATACTTGCTACATTCATTTTGACAGAAAATGGGTGTCTTGTACAATTAAAATCCTTAAAAATTCATAGCATTATAATAAGTTGTTTTCCTGCACATTGAAAGTGTTATTACAAAATGCCTTTTTTCTTTATAAGTTTCTTTACAAATTTTGAGATACAGACGCTGAAAAGGGGGGGGGGGTCTAAACTAGGCAATGTTAGGAGTGGAACATGTAATAAAATTTATGCATTAACCATTTGTGTAGCTCCATAAGGGGGCTACCCCCTCAAATTATCTCTGAACTGAAAATGACTACAAGACTACAAAATTCTGTTTCAATATTAACATAAAAAAAACAGGAAATCTCTTATACTTATGTATATATTAACATGGCTGGTTAACCTTTACTTTACATTTAAACCCATCAAATAAATCTAAAACCATCTGTTTTATTCCACATTTGTTTGTTTTCTTTAATCCCTAGAATACACATTATATACAGCTGAAGGATAAGATCTCTGTCTTATAGGTATACAACTTACACAAACCAAAAAGCCAAGTATTTCTACTGAACTATAGTTATGTTTCATAAGGTCCATAATTAGTACAATTATGATATAAAATCAATGCATGGTTTTTCAGAATCAAGATTCCTAACAGTAAAAATATATCTAAAGAAGAAAATTTATGTACATAAACATCCCAGCTGCTTATGCATTTGTGAAAGAAAAATGTATATTTACCTTTCCCTAAAATGAGTGTGAGTATATTTTACCTGGAAAGATGGTAACAGAATAATATATCTATAGTCCAGTGATTTTAAATTCCAAGATAATCAAAGTTTAATTCCAAGGAAGCCATATTTTTTCTTTCCTGTCAAAGGGAGATTACTGATGATCATAAATTATATAATTTAAGTTCAACTTCTCCCTCTACGAGATCATACTATACAAATATTGATACAATGAAGGAATGCTTTTTATGAATGACCAAATTAATCCATACTATAGGATCCAATTTAAATGCCAACCTTAAATAAATTAAATAGTATTTCGTCAATCTGAAATACTATAGAAAGAAGTCTTATTGCGCTGACAAAGCAAACTATTCTTGCATGAATATTCCGATGTAAATATCTATAGGTTGATCGACAGAAAATCTTTAAATTGGTCACTGATTTCTGAAATCCAATCTTTAAAATACTGCGAAATTTGTAACAAGGACATCCCTTGTTTACATACTAGGAAACAAAGGCGTTAATCATGGATGACGACAAACTTTCTATATACAGTCACTATGAGAAAACTATAATAAACCCTTACTACAATATTATAACAGATTTGTGACACCTGTTACCTTCAAGGACTTAACTTTTATGTTAATCAGTTTGTGATAATTATTTGATTGATTATTCAATCTTTGTGAGATACTGGCAGCTAAAGTGTTCAAATAATACAGATTTAACAGCTAACACCCATTATCTATACAACTTGAGTTGACAAAAGCATGTTTTTGCATTACAAATTAATCAGCTAGTTAAATCGTCCATATCAATCTTCTTACACTGTTGTAAACCTGGAAATATTAACCTACTGGCTAAATGTTCCTTGTCAAATATCAAAATTAATATTTTAATTTTCCTAAGAAATTAAGTAGATACAAGAAGTTTGCTATGAGTTGTCAATCTCATTAGTAAAGGAAAACCTGTTACAAGATAACAGATCAATCAATAGTTACACATTTTGTGTTATTTTTAACACACAGCCAAAATAAAATGATGCTCTCATCAAATTCTATGGAGGTAATGATAACAAGAAGTACTTACCAGTGTAATATTAATCCATAGATATATAAAATACGGTAATCTTGACATAAAATTAACATAAAATCTGCTGGTTTGTACAATCAATATACACTTTCACTGGTCATTGCCTATACACCACTAAATTATACACAGAAAAAATGTTGGTGGATAAAATACACATATACTTCCCAACTATTGTAGAAATGTGCAACCTAGCTTGTACATTTTGCTATGGAAACCAATTGTGATCTTATTGTGGTAGTAATTCCTGTCAATTCTGTGTATTACACTTCCCAATGTCAGGGAGAAATTGTTCCTGCCAATGAGGGGTACCAAAAGGGGCAAAATTCAAGACTATCAATAAATGCTTACATTTTTTCATTATTCATAAGAACACATGTATCTATGACAATATGGTATATTGTAATATAATCTTATTATCTTAGTCAGTAACATTATATCTTGTGATCTTTATCACAGGAATTTATGGGCACCTCACAGGGGTTTCTATGCATCCTTAATTAATCAGCAAAATTAATATACGTTTAATTACAATACATACAGTTAATAATCAATAAAATACTGATCAATATACATCTTGAAGGCTTCAGCATCTGGCGAACACAATGATAACTACTGACTGCCTTTCTAATAATGATGTTATCAAAATTCTTTATACTAACTAATACATTCCTTGGGCAACATAAGGTCATGTCTTGTACAAATTGTAATATATATACTATTGGGATCAACCATTTCATTACAATATTAAAATATAACTTATCTCAGTTTACAACTGACCACTGGGGTCAACACTCAACAAATTTTCTTTATTTTTGGTCCATAATAGTACAATAGAGAATAGTGTTTAGGCTTTAGATATCAGTGACTCTAAGGAACTCTCTAGATAGAGTATTATTTTTAGGATATAGATATCAATGACTCTAAGGAACACTCATGATAGAGCATAGTGTTTAGGCTTAAGATATCAGTGACTCTAAGGAACTCTCTAAATAGAGCATAATGTTTATGTAAACTATATCTTATCTTATAAATATAACTTATCTCAGTTTACAACTGACCACTGGGGTCAACACCCAACAAATTTTCTTTATTTTTGGTCCATAATAGTACAATAGAGAATAGTGTTTAGGCTTTAGATATCAGTGACTCTAAGGAACTCTCTAGATAGAGTATTATTTTTAGGATATAGATATCAGTGACTCTAAGGAACCCTCTATATAGAGCATAGTGTTTAGGCTTAAGATATCAGTGACTCTAAGGAACTCTCTAAATAGAGCATAATGTTTAGGCTTTATATATCAGTGACTCTAAGGAACCCTAAAGATAGAGCATATATAGTTTTTAAGCTATCAATATCAGTGACTCTAAGGAACCCTATAGATAGAGCATAGTTTTTAAGCTATAGATATCAGTGACTCTGAGGAACCCTATAAATAGAGCATAGTTTTTAAGCTTTAGATATCAGCGACTCTAAGGAACCCTATAGATAGAGCATAGTTTTTAAGCTATAGATATCTGTGACTCTAAAGAACCCTATAGATAGAGCATAGTTTTTAAGCTATAAATATCAGTGACTCTAAAGAACCCTATGGATAGAGCATAGTTTTTAAGCTATAGATGAGCATAGTTTTAAAGCTATAGATATCAGAACATCACTAGGATCAGCTTTCTTCTTACTACAGATATCATTCATTCAAAAAAATTCTGTAGGCTGAGCATAGATTTTACACTATTAAATTCAGTGACTTTAAGGAACTCTCTAGATAGAGCATAGTGTTTATGTAAACTATATCTTATCTTATAAATATAACTTATCTCAGTTTACAACTGACCACTGGGGTCAACACCCAACAAATTTTCTTTATTTTTGGTCCATAATAGTACAATAGAGAATAGTGTTTAGGCTTTAGATATCAGTGACTCTAAGGAACTCTCTAGATAGAGTATTATTTTTAGGATATAGATATCAGTGACTCTAAGGAACCCTCTATATAGAGCATAGTGTTTAGGCTTAAGATATCAGTGACTCTAAGGAACTCTCTAAATAGAGCATAATGTTTAGGCTTTATATATCAGTGACTCTAAGGAACCCTAAAGATAGAGCATATATAGTTTTTAAGCTATCAATATCAGTGACTCTAAGGAACCCTATAGATAGAGCATAGTTTTTAAGCTATAGATATCAGTGACTCTGAGGAACCCTATAAATAGAGCATAGTTTTTAAGCTTTAGATATCAGGGACTCTAAGGAACCCAATAGATAGAGCATAATTCTGAAGCTATAGATATCAGGGACTCTAAGGAACCCTATGGATAGAGCTTAGTTTTTAAGCTTTAGATATCAGCGACTCTAAGGAACCCTATAGATAGAGCATAGTTTTTAAGCTATAGATATCTGTGACTCTAAAGAACCCTATAGATAGAGCATAGTTTTTAAGCTATAAATATCAGTGACTCTAAAGAACCCTATAGATAGAGCATAGTTTTTAAGCTATAGATGAGCATAGTTTTAAAGCTATAGATATCAGAACATCACTAGGATCAGCTTTCTTCTTACTACAGATATCATTCATTCAAAAAAATTCTGTAGGCTGAGCATAGATTTTACACTATTAAATTCAGTGACTTTAAGGAACTCTCTAGATAGAGCATAGTGTTTAGGCTTTATATTTCAGTGACTCTAAGGAACTCTCTAGATAGAGCATAATATTAGGCTTTAGATATTAGTGACGCTAAGGAACCCTATATATAAAGCATAGTATTTAAGCTATAGATATCAGTGACTCTAAGGAACTCTATAGAGAGAGCATAGTTTTTAAGCTATATATATCAATGACTCTTAGGAACCCTATAGAGAGAGCATAGTTTTTAAGCTATATATATCAATGACTCTAAGGAACCCTATAGAGAGTTTTTTTTGTTTTAGCTATAGATACCAGTGACTCTAAAGAACATCACTAGGATCAGCTTTCTTCTTACTATAGATATCATTCATTCAAAGGAATTCTTTAGGCTGAGCATAGATATTACACTATAAAATTCAGTGACTCTAAAGAACTCTCTAAAATAAAAATAGTTTTCATGCTATGAATATCAATAATTCTAAAAACAAAGATCATTTGGATCACCATTCTTAAAGTCTACTGATTTCTGTGACTAAGGGAACTCTATAAATTCAGTTAACTTTCAGTTCTTCTTTCACTTTGAACTTCCCTAAACATGTTAAAATACCTATACTTATAAAAAAAGTTATCTTGGAAAGTGTTCACACAATAAAGTTAACTTCATCTTTCCAATCAATTAAGGAGGACTGCATTCAAAATGATTTTGAAGCCCCAATCAACACTTCATCAGTTTATGGAACAAAAGATATGATCAATAAATGCCTATACATTCATAAATGTCTACAAGATTAAACATCAAACTAAAATATGTAATGCATTATGTATGACATAAAATCATGGTAGGAGAAACTTTTATTACCATAATCTGCAATTTAATATCTGCACTTTTATCATCGCAGCACGACATTTCTATTATTTAATTTACTTACTCTTTATGGCAATAGTATGTTAATCCTCTGACTTCCCCAAGCTTGTTACCTATAAAAGAGAAGAAATTATGTTCAATGGGAGGTAATTCTAGTTTAATACAGTGAAGCTCTGAAACAAGAAATTCCAGTAAGACCAGTTGCTAATAATAAATATCATGCAAATTTTAAAGATATTTAAATGTCAATTCACAAGGTTGAAGGTTGTAACATAAGAACTAGAAAATTTCTACATCCTCAGGCCAAAAATAAAATTAAGATTGTTTGATGTTGCCTACAGTGTACCTACCCGAAAAATTTTATGACACATTAATCGTTTCAAATTTTTTTTTTTAAGTTTTTTTTTCATGCTCTAACATTGTTTTCTTGTCTAAAACATGAAACTTGTGTTGTTGGCAAAAACAAAAAAAAATAAATCTCAACCTACCTACCCAACCCTAAAAGGCATGGGTAGGTAACATCAAACAAAGAATTTGTTGAGGGTGGCCGCAATGATCAAATAAATAGGCTGCATTAAGTGAGTTTACATCAATTAGTTTGGGAAAATTTCTCATGAAGACTTTAAATGAGAGAATCCTCATAAAGTCTTTTAAAACAAGAGTGCACACGCTGAGATGTCTCGCCTTCTTTACTGACCATTGATTTAATGTTGATAGTCCTAAATATAAAGCTTTACTAAAAGTATCACATAAACATAACATAGTCCAAGAAAATGAGGTCAAGGTCAGATAAACCAACCAGAAATACATGTACACATTACAATCATTCAATACACCAAATAACAAGTTGACCTATTGCTTATAGTTTCTACAAAACAGACTTAAACAAGAAAACTAAACATTGACCAATGAACCATGAAAATAAGGTCAAGGTCAGATGAACCATGCCGGACAAACATGTAAACCTTACAATCAATCTATGCATTAAATATAGTTGACCTATTGCTTATAGTACCTAAAAAACAAACTTAACCAGGAAATCTCAACATTGACCAATAAACCATGAAAATGAGGTCAAGGTCAGATGATACCTGCCAGACAGACATATACACCTTACAATCATTCCATACAACATAGTTGACCTATTGGTTATAGTTTAAGAAAAACAGACCAAATCACAAAACTAAACACTGAGCAATGAACTGTGAAAATGAGGTCAAGGTCAAATAAAACCTGCCAGACTGACATGTACATTGTAAAATATTTCCATACACCAAATATAGATGACCTATTGCATATAGTATAAGAAAAAAAAAGACCAAAACACAAAAACTTGACTTTAACCACTGAACAATGAAAATGAGGTCAAGGTCACATGACACCTGCCAGTTGGACATGTACACCTTACAATCATTCCATACACCAGATAAAGAAGAACTATTGCTTATAGTATCTGATATATGGACTTGACCATGAAAACTTAACCTTGTTCACTGATCCATGAAATGAGGTCGAGGTCAGATGAAAACTGTCTGACGGGCATGAGGACCTTGCAAGGTAAGCACATATTAAATATAGTTATCCTTTTACTCATAATAAGAGAGAAATTAACATTACAAAAAATCTTAACTTTTTTTTCAAGTAGTAACTGAACCATGAAAATGAGGTCATGGACAATGAAAATATAACAGACGGAAACTTCATAACATAAGGCAACTATATACAAAGTATGAAGCATCCAGGTCTTCCACCTTGGAAAATATAGAGCTTTTAAGAAGTTAGCTAACGCTGCCGCCG